CTTTTGGAACAAAGCTTGCTTTCTTTGTTTGTAAGCGTTTTTGCTTTGCCGGATATTTTTAGGATATGGCTCTTATGTATCTCTTGTGAGTCACTTGATATGTTGTTTAGGTAAAACTTTTGGTTTGAAAGAGAATGATCTACAACAAGCATAATCGGTTATTTGTTATATATGTGGCCATGTTCATATTGCTTTCTCCACAAGCAATTTTCCAGTTTTGTAGCATTCGATATTTAAATTTAAAAGCTTCAATACGTTGTATACATGTGTATGTATGTACATATATGAATTATTCTCAGTTTGCACATAGTGGTTTCTAAGGGATAGATACTTGCTCTCTGTAACCCTCTCATTTTTAGTACCTATCTTCAGTGTTTACTTTGCTAAGAGCTTCTTGATAGGCATACATCTTTGCAATCTCAGATCAATATACTACAAATACATATACGATACAGTTAAGAAAATGATATTTCTCTTACAACTTTTTATATGGGTTTTATAAACAAGAGATCAACTGAAGGGTTACGCAGCGACCAATGGCGAAGGTAGAGACAAAGATACTACAATAGGGACGATAAATATGACACGATATATACAAAGGAGATGCCTGTTTCTATACCATTGAAATTTTACGTACATAACTGCCAGTGCCGTGCCTAGGCTTTGAGAGGCCTAAGGCAATTTTTAAATTATGTGGCCTTTTTAAAAATTTTACTTATCACTCAAATTTTTGTTTCTAACAAAATATGATTTAAAGCACTATAAAATTATTATAGTATGTGTATGTAAGGATTAATAATAGATATACATGTATTTTTTAAGAAATGATTTCAAAGTATGATATTATGGAAGATTTCATCATATAATCTAATTACACTGATTCAAAAGGGGAAAAAACCCGAAAAATACCTCATCTATTTTTTATTTGGACGTTTAATACCTAACTTTTTTTTGTTGGAAGAAAAATACCTTCTTTAATTATAATTGGTCGAAAAATATCTTATCTTTAATTGTTGGTAGATTCAAACCTCTGATTTAACGGTCGTTAACGGACGTAACGATAGCAGTAAACGACGTTAAATTATAACAGAAAAATAGCCGAAAAATACCCAATCTATTTATTTTTGGAATTTTAATACCCCAACTTTTTTGTTAGAAGAAAAATACCTCATGTAAAATATCTTTGTCTAAAAATACTTCATTTTAAATTATTAGTGGATTCAAGTCTGCGACTTAACAATCGTTAACAATATTACAGAAACATTTAACGACGTTAAATATTAACCCTGTGTATATAAATAGATATATACAATTTATTTTCAAAATTTTACAAATATATTGGTGTGATCAAAACTCAATATTACTTCGTTAATACGATCAAAACTCAATCTTTCTCGAACCATTTCTTTCATCTCTCCACTTTTACCTAAATTCTTCTCCACTTCCGCAACTATGCTACTCCACGACCACAAAAATGACAAATCTATCGTCGTCGTCATCTTTGTCACAATCTCTCATTTGTTAGTTGCAGAATCGTTACATTCCATCATCAAAATCACTATCACAAAAACCTTTCTAACTCCAACGATGCCTTTAGGAATGAAAAAATGATGTATTTAAATTTGTAGGAGTGAAGCAAATGATGTATTTAAATTTGTATGTCATTTATTAAAGAAAATAGGAGATCAAAAGAAGTTCTATGCGGGTTAAAAATCATACGTGTTACCATTAGATCAAGTAATATATTTGTAAAAGTTTGTATAAATATTGTATATACTAACAATTCAAAAATGAGGTCTTTTTAGACAAAAGTATTTAAATGAAGTATTTTTCTTCCAACCAAAAAGTTTGGGTATTAAAAATCCAAAAATAAATAGATGAAGCATTTTTCGGCTATTTGTTTTGTTATAATATAACGTCGTTTACTGATACCGTAACGTCCGTTAACGACCGTTAAATCAGAGGTTTGAATTTACCAATAATATAAAGATAAAGTATTTTTCGACCAATTATAATTAAAGAAGGTATTTTTCTTCCAACAAAAAAAAGTTAGGTATTAAACGTCCAAATTAAAAATAGATGGGGTATTTTTCGGGTTTTTTCCCGATTCAAAAGTATAAAGAAATGTGGCCTTTAAAATGTTAGTATTTCATGTGGCCTAAGGCAAATGCCTTTTTGAATACACTAGAAGCACGGCTCTGATAACTGCTTCAAAGAGCAAGATGACTTACTTGATAGGTAAGAGATATGGTAAGAGATTATATTTTTCAATTATTTGTTTCCAACTACGAAAAACTCCAGTGACATACAATCTAAAAGCATGAATATGTCATAAAATCAAGAATACAACAAAAACCAGGAAGATGGGCCCAAATTAAAGACCGAAACTGGACGTGGGGAACCCACAGACAGTGGCGGTCGTGGCATTACAAATATGAAAGAAACGAGTAAGCATGAATATGTCATAAAACCAAAAGTACGACAAAACCAAGAATATGGGCCCAAATTAAAGACCAAAACTGGACGTGGGGAACCCACGGACAGTGGCGGTCAGGGCGTTACAAATATAAAAGAAACGAGTAAGCATGAGTATGTCATAAAATTAAGAGTACGACAAAACCAAGAAGATGGGCCCAAATTAAAGACTGAAACTGGACGTGGGGAACCCACGGACAGTGGCGGTCGGGACGTTACAAATATGAAAGAAACGACTAAGCATGAATATGTCATAAAATCAAGAGTACGACAAAACTAAGAAAATGTGCCCAAATTCAAGACCGAAACTGGACGTGGGAACCCACAGACAGTAGCGATCGGGGCGTTACAAATATGAAAGAAACGAGTAAGCATGATTATGTCATAAAACCAAGAGTACGGGAACACCAAGAAGATGGGCCCAAAGACAAGAACTGGACGTGGGAACCCATGGACAGTGGCGATCGAGGCGTTATATACAAATATGAAAGAAACGAGTAAGCATGAATATGTCATAAAATCAAGAGTACGACAAAACCAAGAATATGGTCCCAAATTAAAGACTGAAACTAGACGTGGGAACCCACAGACAGTGGCGGTCGGGACGTTACGAATATGAAAGAAACGAATAAGCATGAATATGTCATAAAACCAAGAGTACGACAAAACCAAGAAAATGGGCGTAAAGACCAAAACTGGACGTGGGAACCCACAGACAATGGCGGTCGGGACATTTCAGATATGAAAGAAACGAGTAAACATGAATACATCATAAAACCAAGCGTAAGACAAAAGCAAGTATAGAAACAACATATCTTTGGTTATCATAACATGAACATGATTATTATGGCCTAAGATCCTTTTTTAATATTAGTATATAAATTTTTAAAATTATTCTGTTTTGGTCTTTGGTCCCATATCGGTTGTTACTAATTGATCCTGCTAATATGAAAGAAACGGGTAAGCATAAATATGTCACAAAATCAAGAGTACAATAAAACAAAGAAAATGAGCCTAAAGACCGAAACTGAACGTGGGAACCCACGGACAGTGGCGGTCGGGGCGTTGCTAATATGAAAGAAACGAGTAATCATGAATATATCATAAAATCAAGAGTATGACAAAACAAAGAAGATGGGCCTAAAGACCGGAACTAGACGTGTGAAACCCAAAGACAGTGGCGGTCGGGGCGTTGCTAATATGACAGAAACGAGTAAGCATGAATATGTCATATAATAAGAGTACGACAAAACAAAGAAAATGGGCCTAAAGACCGAAACTGGACGTGGGGAACCCACGGACAGTGGCGGTCGGGGCGTTGCTAATATGAAAGAAACGACTAAGGATGAATATGTCATAAAATCAAGAGTACGACAAAACAAAGAAGATGGGCCTAAAGACCGGAACTGGACGTGGGGAGCCCACGGACAGTGGCGGTCGGGGCGTTGCTAATATGAAAGAAACGAGTAAGCATGAATATGTCATAAAATCAAGAGTACGACAAAACAAAGAAGATGGGCCTAAAGACCGAGACTGGACGTGGGAACCCATGGACAGTGGCGGTCGGGGCGTTGCTAATATATTGTTGGTTTAAATATATAGATTTTTTATATTTAATTCTATTATATATATCAAGAGTTATAGCGTTTTACCATAATTCTATATTAATGTCGTTATAAAAATTAGACTCTTGACAAAATTAAATCAATAAATATCCCTAACTTGATAACCCTAAATATTGATTACTAATTCTGGTCTTAATCAACATACAACCCCGCGCTAGGCGCGGGGACCTCCCCTAGTTTTGTTTTTAAAAGAAAGTTTTTATAGTGTGATGGATAGTATTACACTGTACTTTAAACAATACTATTCATAACTCTATCTAAATGCTGGAATACTGTACTATTGGAAAGAATTTTCTAATGATTTATTCCTTGAAATAGAATCCTAAACTAGCAGAACAATAAAAAAAGTCAAGACAAGAAAGATTTGGTCCTTTGAACTTTGAAGATAGTTGTCAAAATCTGGCCCTTCTAGCTATTATAAAATTACAAGTAATCAAAACCTTCCATAAGAATCCATCTGCTTTTCTTTTTGTCATTATTCCTTAATTTACAAACAAACAAAAAAATAAAGAGAAACAGAAAAAGGCTACGTGTCCAGTCTCAATGCTACGCGTCGCATAATGCATAATAATAAATTCTACTCCCTCTGTCCCAATTTATAAGATGTTTTGTGTAAAAGCACAAAGATTAAGGAATAATTAATGTTTACATTCTTATAAGAATTTAGCCAATAGAAAAAAAGACTGCAGAATTTAAATGGTCATAACATACTAAATAAACATAAATTAAGCATAGAAATCTGGGAAAATCTTATAAAATGGAACAAAGAAAAAATGCTAAAACATCCTATAATTTGGGATAGAGGGAGTAATTATTTATTTCATTTTAAAATATATATTTAAAGTAGTCACTGACTCTAATATCCAACTCCAACTCCAACTCCAACTCCAACTACAACACTCTCTTTCATTCTTCACAAAATAATCAAAATCAATGGAATCTGAAATCGCCTCTGAGTTTCCTCCCTTCTGCCGGATTTACAAAGACGGTCACGTCGAACGACTCATGGGCACCAAAACCATCCCGGCTTCTCTAGATCCAACACACGACGTCGTTTCAAAAGACGTTATATACTCACCGGACCTTAACCTCTCCGTTCGTCTCTTCCTCCCTCACAAATCCACAAAACTCACCGCCGGTGAAAAACTCCCTCTACTTATCTACATCCACGGCGGAGCTTGGATCATCGAATCACCTTTCTCCCCAATCTACCACAATTACCTCACAGAAGTTGTCAAATCCGCTAACTGCCTCGCCGTCTCGGTTCAATACCGTCGTGCACCGGAAGATCCGGTTCCGGCTTCGTATGAAGATGCATGGTCCGCGATTCAATGGATCTTCTCTCATTCTAACGGATCTGGTCCTGTAGATTGGATTAACAAACACGCGGATTTCGATAAAGTGTTTCTCGCCGGAGATAGCGCCGGCGGTAATATATCGCATCACATGGCGATGAAAGCTGGTGAAGAGAAGAAGCTAGATCTGAAAATCAAAGGTATTGGTGTTGTGCATCCAGCTTTCTGGGGAACAGATCCGGTTGATGAATACGATGTTCAAGATAAAGAAACGAGAATCGGAATCGCTGACGTTTGGGAGAAGATCGTGAGTCCGAATAGTGTTAATGGAACGGATGATCCGTTGTTTAATGTAAATGGATCCGGGTCGGATTTTTCTGGATTGGGATGTGAGAAGGTTTTGGTTGCGGTGGCTGGGAAAGATGTGTTTGTGAGGCAAGGTTTGGCTTATGCGGCGAAGTTGGAGAAGAGTGAGTGGGAAGGAACTGTGGAGGTGGTTGAGGAAGAAGGTGAAGGACATGTGTTTCATTTGGAGAAACCTAATTCTGATAAGGCTTTGAGATTCTTGAAGAAGTTTGTCGACTTTATTATTGGTTGATGAATGCTTTTTTTTTTGTGTGTAAATGTTGTTGATGATTTTAAATTTTTAAGTGTGGTATTTTGAATTTAATTATAGTTTATGTAATCTTGTTTTTAAGATATAAAACACATGAATTTCAGACTGTGTAAGAGTTATATGATCTTGTTAAATTTGTGTTATTATTTTCTTCAGCATGAATTCAAAAAAGAAATACGCAAAATGTCATTGAATAATAATATGTGTTGAAGTACAATGAAGTCGCCACCCTTTTCTCAGGTTTATACACCGATTAGTACCCTTTTTTTTCTCCTCTCTCTCAATACCTTGCTCTAGCATCGAACTTCTCGCACGTTCTTAAGAGTGCTTTCTCCGCATGGATGTATGTATAAACCCATATTGGTTCTGATCGGTGTATTGCTAATTTTTATCGTTTTTGTAATTCGTAACTATAAACCCAGGCCCTGAACTTTTTTATAAAAAAACAAGTGCAAATAATTTTCTTTTATTTTTGACGTCAAGTAATTTTGCTTTTGAACATTTTGAATATTTATGTATTAACAATATATACATTGTTTTTAAAATTTTTGGTTCAAACATGAATTGAAACACAAATACACAGTTTCTTGAGGTATTATTTATTGGTCCCACCCAATTAATCAATTACACAGGAAACCCCACCACAAATCCTCTCGTCGGTCGGTTTACCTATTTTCATCAAAATCCTTATCCAAAAAGTGCATCCTCTTCGCCGGAGAAAATATACCGGAGAAAATATACCGGTAACCATGCTCCGAAGAATCACTTGTTCCTATTCACTTGCTTCACCCTCTCTCTTCCACCGGTTCTTTCGCCAATTCCCTCGCTCTTACTCGACACCAACCACCATCGCTGTCTCCCGCCGCAACATTCGCCGACTACCCACTCCGACCACTCTTCGTTGCATTTGTTCACACTCTTCATCTGAAATCATCTCCGAACATCCTCCGTTCATCCGAGTTTACAAAGACGGTCGTATAGAACGTCTTTCCGGCACCGAAACCGTCCCGGCATCTCTAAACCCCCAAAACGACGTCGCTTCAAAAGACGTCGTGTACTCACCGGAGCATAACCTCTCCGTTCGTCTCTTTCTCCCTCATAAATCAACAAAACTCGCCGCCGGTAACAAACTCCCTCTACTTATCTACTTCCACGGCGGAGCTTGGATAAACGAATCCCCTTTCTCCCCAATCTACCACAATTTCCTAACGGAGGTAGTCAAATCCGCTAACTGCCTCGCCGTCTCGGTTCAATACCGCCGTGCGCCGGAAGATCCGGTTCCGGCGGCGTATGAGGATACATGGTCGGCGATTCAATGGATTTACTCACATTCCGATGGATCTGGTCCAGAAGATTGGATTAACAAATACGCCGACTTCAACAGAGTTTTTCTCGCCGGAGATAGCGCCGGCGGTAACATATCTCATCACATGGCTATGAGAGCTGGTAATGAGAAGCTTAAGCCTAGAATCAAAGGGACAGTGATTCTGCATCCAGCGATTTGGGGAAAAGATCCGGTCGATGAACACGATGTGCAAGATAAAGACATCAGAAGCGGAGTTGCACAAGTTTGGGAGAAGATTGTGAATCCGAATAGTGTTGATGGAGCGGATGATCCGTGGTTTAATGTAGTTAGATCCGGGTCGGATTTTTCCGAGATGGGATGTGAGAAGGTTTTGGTTGCTGTGGCTGGAAAAGATCTGTTTTGGCGGCAAGGATTAGCTTATGCGGCGAAGCTGAAAAAGAGTGGGTGGCAAGGAACAGTGGAGGTGATGGAGGAAGAAGGTGAAGATCATTGCTTCCATCTCTTGAGCCCTAATTCTGAAAATGCTCCCAAATTCATGAAGAGATTTGTGGACTTTGTCACTGGTTAGAATTGTTCTTTGTGTTTTAGACTTCAGAGTGTGTGACACGAATAAATTTTGATGTAACCTTTGAATTTGATTTGGTTGTATAATTATGCTTAAGGAATTAAATACAGGAATGACTCTGTTCTGACTTCTGACTTCTGACTTCTGACCATATGAGAATTGTGGTCCAATATTTTTTTTTTGTTCAAAGCCAACCTAAGTAACACAATTTAGTTTCAAATACGTTTTCCGCATATACATGTATCCTAACGAAAACTCAAATTATCATTGAATTTGGGTTCAAAGGAGATAGATGTATAAAGTTATTGATCTCCATCCTAATTCAATATATGTAGACAAACTTATATACAGTAAAACCTCTATAAATTAATAATGTTGGGACCAAAAATTTTTATTAATTTAGAGAGGTATTAATTTATCGATAAATTAATAATTTGAGAAATTTTATTTATTTGTAATTTCTTAAAAAAATTCTATCTAAAAATAAATTTTTTCTTTAAGAAACATCTTTTAAAAACTAATTACAAGTAGAAAATCAATTACTAAGTTTAAAAAACAATACAAACTTATTTCGAATAATAAAGTCATATTTCATTAAACATTTTACATATAATATTTTAAATATATATCATAGAAATTCATATATGACATATATAAATTTATATCATATATATATTAAGTTAAATATACATATATATATATCTATATAATATATTGATAAGTTTATACAATTATTAATTTATGATATAGATGGGACCATATGTTTACATATGATTTTCAAAAAAAATATTATCTTATTAATTTATCGATTTATGTCATATTTTACACTGGTCCCAATTCGGGACCGAAAGAATTTATTAATTTAGAGAGGTTATTAATTTATAGAGTATTAATTTATAGAGGTTTAACTGTATAATCGAGTTTGCCATAATGATCGATGTGTGATGAAAACTTATCGACCATTTTCTTATTATCATAATTATTAATGGGAGATTGACACAAATAGCCCCAAAAAAGTTGTTTTTTCCAAAAATAGCACCTCATTTGAAAAGTTCCACAAATAGCACCATAAACTTCAATTAAACTTAATGAAAATATAAGATAGAAAATAAAAAAGAGAGCAAACACTAATCTAATATTAAATTGAATCAAAATTGTTTTTAAATAGTGGAAATATATACTCTAATTTGGAAATAGAGAACCCAAATATAATACCACAAACTAATATTAAAATAAAAATCTCTTTTAAATGGTGAAAATATATACCCTAAATTGGAAATAGGGAACCCAAATATAATACCATAAACTAATATTAAAATGAATCAAAATCTCTTTTAAATGGTAGAAATATATACCCTAAATTGGAAATAGAGAACCCAAATATAATATTTTAAATTTATTTCTAATTTATTTTGTTGAATAGCTTTTATATAAAAGTTGTGGTATTATTGAAAGAAAAAAAGCTAGTGATAAAATTTTTAGAACAAAAACACTAATAGTAAGTTAACTAGTGTTATTTTTGGAAGTTTATGGAGTGTGTGCTATTATTGTCAATAAAACTTGTTTTAGGGCCATTTTTAGGAATTTCTCATTATTAATTTAGCTGAAATATAACTTTATCACAACCAAAATTTTATTTACAACGACAGAAAAACTCGTCCTTGTCCATTGGTTGACTAAGGGTTCATTAATGCTTCTACACCCAGAGGTCTGGGGTTCGAGTCCCAGATACTGCGATTTATTAATAAATTTTGCAGATTATTGGAGGCAAGTGTGCAAGAGATCTCCAACGATGTACAATTATAGCCGTTCGCCAGGATTCTACACAGAGAAGGAAGTGTCCATCAAAACCATGAAGAAGGAGGTGAAGGAGGTGAGCATGAAGAAAGAGGTGAAGGAGGTCGTGGATCTAATAAGGGTCGGAAGGAATTGTCCGTTGTAGAATCGTCTATGTAATAGTTCTCATAATTTGCAATAAATAATAAATCCAGACGACAAAAAAAAGAATTCTATTATTGTCTTAAATAATTTTGTGGCTATTAGTAATTACAGGTCCAGAATCAAGAAAGTAACGACGGGTTCATTGGACAGCTATTTATGGATATAATACTTTATTATTTCTATTATAAAAAAAAACGACGGGTTCATTAATAATGAGAGTTTTTGTTTACTAGTGAAAAAGATTGAGGTCGGGTTATTGTCTGGTTACATTTGTAATGAGAGTTTTTGTTTATACACGATCGGGTCCACCGCTTGTCTGATATCCAAAAATGGAAAGCAATCTAAGTTAGGCAACTTGTGATTTTATCATTTTGCAAAAAAAAAAACTAATGATTTGTTAGCATAAATAACTTATGAACATATCAAATATAACCAAGCCAATTCATATCATACCTAATTGATTCTTAGACATAGATTTTTTCAATTCAGTATAGTTAATCACCATTTTTTTTAACATAGACTTGTCAGGGTTTGATTGGATGACACAGTATATACATATCGTAAAATCTCATACAAACCACTCTGTTTCTGTTTCTTCACTCTTTTTTCCAAAGAAGATGGAATCTGATAAGACAACAGAGCATCATCTACCATTCATCCGGTTTCTAAAGAACGGCCGGGTCGAGCGACTTAGCGGCAACGAGATCAAACCGGCGTCTTTAAACCCACAAAACGACGTCATTTCGAAAGACGTTGTATACTCACAAGAGCACAACCTCTCCGTTCGTATGTTTCTCCCCAACAAATCTACCATGGGTAACAAACTACCTCTACTTATCTACTTTCACGGCGGAGCTTACATCACACAATCTCCTTTCTCTCCGGTTTACCATAACTACCTCACGGAGGTTGTTAAAACCGCTAACTGCCTCGCCGTGTCGGTTCAATACCGTCTTGCGCCAGAGCATCCGGTTCCGGCGGCTTATGATGATTCATGGTCGGCTATTCAGTGGATCTTTTCTCATTCTGATGATTGGATTAATGAATACGCCGATTTCGACAGAGTTTTTATCGCCGGAGATAGCGCCGGAGCCAATATATCCCATCACATGGGAATAAGAGCTGGTGAGGAGAAGCTTAAGCCTAGAATCAAAGGGATTGTTATGGTGCATCCAGGTTTTTGGGGGAAAGATCCGATCGACGAACACGATGTGCAAGACGGAGAAGTCAGAAACAAGATCGCATATATTTGGGAAAAGATCGTGAGCCCTAATAGTGTCGATGGAGTGAATGATCCATGGTTTAATGTGGTCGGAGGCGGGTCGGATATATCCGGATTAGGATGTGACAAGGTTTTGGTTGCGGTGGCCGGAAAAGATGTGTTTTGGCGGCAAGGATTGGCTTACGCGGCGAAGCTGAAGAAGAGTAAGTGGAAAGGAATGGTGGAAGTGGTGGAAGACGAAGAGGAAGGACACAGCTTCCATCTCCATAACCCTAATTCTCAAAATGTTTCGAAATTGATGAAGAAGTTTTTGGAGTTTATCATCTTAAGTTGAATCTTGATGCTCAAGTATGGGATTAGATGAAATAATCCTTCAAATAATCATATTGTTAACTTAGTTTATGTTTTTAATCGTCAAATTTCGGAAAGTTCAACATACAATTATCATGTGAAGAAAAGTCAGATCATCTAAACAACAAATTCACTAATTGCTGACAGAGATTGAACCAAAAATAATAATTAAGCGCACCTAATGTTAAATTAATTTACATATTATTATGTTGAATTTGTGTATCAAAATCAAACTATCCTCGAAAAATCAATAGTATATGTTTAAATTGTTCGGAATACTATCAATTTTAGTTTTTAAAATTTTTAAAAACGAATGTTTAATCCATTACATTCGATCAATCGGTTAGGTCTATTTAAGGTTTCGAAATTTGAACCTCCGGTTTAATTTCGAACCGAACCGCTTTAAAACTCCTCGCCGTCGGATTAAATTATTTTCATCCTTAAGTACAGTCTTCTCGCCGGAGAAGATATTCCGGTAGCCATGCTCCGGTCAATAACTTTTTCCTCGTCCCTTACTTCGACCTCTCTTTTCTTCCGCTTCTTTCGCCAGTCCCCTCGCTCTTACTTTTCGCCGTCATTGTCTTCGACCGCCGTCGGCCGCAAGGCCCGCAACATTCGCCGGCTTTCTACTCCAGAAGCTGCTGGAAGACGTTTCTTTCTACCCCGTGACTTTAAACTGCGCTCCGGCGCGAGTCGTGGTCTCAATGGACAGTTCTCTCGCTTATCCATTCGCGCCGTCGCTACACAATCCGCACCTTCTTCAATTCCCGGTGAGACTATCAAAATCTTTAGCTGGATTTGAAACTGTAGGAATTTCTAATGTTTCTACTTTCCGAGTAGTTGGATTCAAAGTGTTTCTCGTTGGTGACATTTGTGTTAGTTGTTGTTACTCTATTCCACAAACACTCTCTTATAGAGAAATTTCCTGAGCTTTTGATCAAATTTGACACTATAGCTGAGTTGTTTCATGTAATTGGGTTTCCAAATTTAGGAAAGATGTGAAACTTTTCTTCTCATACTTGATTTGTGTTTTGGGTTAAACAGTGTCAATTGTACGCTGTTCTGAGGAGTGGTTTTGTCAAATGTAGGTCAAGATGAGGCTGAGAAGCTTGGATTTGAGAAAGTCTCTGAAGAGTTCATCTCAGAGTGTAAATCTAAGGCTGTTCTCTTCAAACACAAGAAGACTGGTTGCGAGGTGATGTCTGTTTCTAACGATGATGAGAACAAGGTGTTTGGCATTGTTTTCAGGACTCCTCCGTAAGTGTAGTTCTAGAACACATGAATCTGTCCTACTAGTTTATCTTTAGTATAGGTGGCTTGAAATTCCTGTTGATCTTGGTGATTTCTTAACGGTAAGGTATATGAGGCTTCGTTCTTGGAATTTCACCTAGTCCAAAAAGGGTCAAATCGTTTACCAATCACCTCAGGTCGCACTTGCGAGCTTAATCCTATAAAACGTTGTAAAACTCAGTTGGTTCTCCCTCCTTTTTGTTGGTACTCATGTGGTGTTCAGAGTCAAGTGGTGAATTTATTATAGTCGAGTGAGTGAAATTCTAGCGTATCAAGTTTAAAATTAGCCAATGTTGAATAGTTGTATACTTTCAGTTGGAATTGGCACCATGAGCTAGCTAAACTTGTAACTCTCCAGTTTAATTAATAGGCACTGTAAGTGGTTGACAGTGGTTTTGATAATAGTTTGGTTCTTTATGCAGGAAAGATTCCACTGGCATTCCTCACATACTGGAACATAGCGTATTATGTGGGTCAAGAAAGTACCCGCTGAAAGAACCATTTGTCGAATTATTCAAGGGAAGTTTGCTTACTTTCCTTAACGCATTCACATATCCTGATAGGACTTGCTACCCAGTTGCTTCCACAAATACAAAGGTAATAATACATAAATACTCTTTTCTTCCCCAAGCTCCTATCTTTCTTCTATGCTCACATATATTTAAGTTTGGTCTGATCACATTTCATCACTATCTATGCTAGGATTTCTACAACCTTGTCGATGTATACTTGGACGCTGTTTTCTTCCCCAAGTGTGTGGATGACGTTCACACTTTTCAGCAGGAGGGTTGGCACTATGAGCTTAACGATCCTTCAGAAGACATATCTTACAAAGGTTCTATTTGTTAAATTTTCTTTTTCATACCTTGCTTTTCATCTTTCGGTTTGTTTAACCACTATTTTATTAAGTCGCTCTCCCTGTCTCTTTGTTAATGTTTCATACAGGTGTTGTTTTTAATGAGATGAAAGGTGTCTATTCACAGCCTGATAATATACTAGGGCGGATTACTCAACAGGCAAGTTTTGATTGTTCCTTGATTTTCTTGAACAATTTCTTCTAGCAATCTCTTTCTACGAGTGAATTTCTGTGCAGGTTTCGAGTGAATCTGCAGTGTCTGAATAATTTAGCTTTGTTATTTTTTTTGGTTTTACAGCTTACCTGATTAAATATGTGGGTGTGTGTAAATAGATATATATCTTTGCATGTGCACGCCTGCATTTTGTATTTGTTACTGGTCATAACTTTGGTGAGCAGTCAGAGTAAACATGATTGAAGTTTCTCACAAAACATCATTTCAAGATCTGCTCCTGAATTCCTTGTTAGATAATCTTCTTTCATTATTCTTTGGTACAGTGGTTTTCATGGAATACATAAACTTGTTTTCTCTTCTGTTTTCTTTAATTAGGCCTTATGCCCAGAAAATACATACGGTGTTGACAGTGGAGGTGATCCAAAAGATATCCCTAAGCTTACGTTTGAGGAATTTAAGGTTTGTTAAGTACTTCATGTCATTTAATTAAACGTGATATAATATGATATTATACTGCAACAGAAGCATAATGATATGTATGACTTCTGATGCAAAATATTTTATTCTTCATGTGGTGAAAATTTCAGGAGTTCCACCGTCAATATTATCACCCAAGCAATGCCAGGATATGGTTCTATGGAGATGATGATCCAGGTCACCGCCTCCACGTCTTGAGTGGTAAAGAGCCATATTTTATATTGTATTTCTGTAGGAGACTCTCCCTTTCTTTATTTATGTTCGCCATTATGTTACTATTTTACAGATCTTGTTTCTGTTTTACTAATTTGTGCAGAATACTTGGACATGTTTGATGCAAGTCCAGCTCGAGATACCTCAAAGGTTGAACCACAAAAACTATTCTCTAGGCCTCGCAGAATTGTTGAAAAATATCCTGCTGGTGAAGATGGCGACCTAAAGAAGAAACATATGGTGTGCCTTAACTGGCTGCTCTCTGACAAGCCACTGGACTTACAAACTCAACTCACCCTTGGGTTTTTGGATCATCTAATGCTTGGGACTCCTGCTTCCCCATTGAGAAAAATCTTACTGGAAAGCGGTTTAGGAGAAGCTCTTGTTAATAGTGGAATGGAAGATGAACTTCTCCAGCCCCAATTCAGTATAGGTTTGAAAGGTGTTTCCGATAATAATGTCCAAAAGGTTGAAGAGTTGGTCATGAATACTCTGAGAAAGTTGGCTGATGAGGGGTTTGACACTGATGCTGTTGAAGCATCCATGAATACCATTGAGTTTTCTCTGAGAGAAAACAATACAGGATCGTTCCCTTGTGGTTTATCCCTTATGCTTCAGTCAATTGTGAGTTTTTCTGCCTTTTTCTTATGTTTATCTTATCTATTATTTCTGTATAGTTTCTTATTTTAGTGTTGGATGTTTAGGCGAAATGGATATACGACATGGATCCTTTTGAGCCATTAAAGTATGAGGAACCATTGAAGTCCCTGAAAGCTAGAATAGCTGAGAAAGGATCCAAGGCTGTCTTTTCCCCACTGATAGAGGAATTTATTTTAAAGAACCCTCATTGTGTTACTATCGAGATGCAGGTATTTGTGTTTTCCGAGTTTCTCATTGCTTTCTAATGTTTCTATAATTCTATACCAAAAACACGTTTTGTCAGCCTGATCCAGAAAAAGCTTCTCAAGAGGAAGCAGAGGAGAAAAATATTCTAGAAAAAATTAAAGCAAGTATGACAGAAGAGGATCTTGCAGAACTAGCGCGTGCCACAGAGGAGTTGAGATTGAAGCAAGAGACTCCTGACCCTCCTGAAGCACTAAAATGCGTTCCAAGTTTAAACTTGAGTGACATTCCAAAAGAACCTATATATGTTCCCACTGAGGTGATCATTATACTATCTTTCTGCTATCGTTGAATTTCTAACGGTTTTGCAGTTAGATACTGATATGGTGCTCTATAGGTTGGAGATATTAAAGGCGTGAAGGTTTTGCGGCATGATCTCTTTACAAATGATATACTCTACACTGAAGTAGTCTTTGACATGGGCTCACTAAAGCATGAGCTTCTTCCACTGTTACCCCTCTTCTGGTAAATTGTGTACTTCTGCATCTGATTATCTAACCTTTAAGCTTTATAATCTGCTTTTGGGTTTTCACCTATCTTTTCCACAAATGCAAATGAAGAATATTGCTACAAAAGAATTCCAAGTGTTCCCTGTCATACTCCCTATGCTAAATTCATAATTTTAACTCCTAAATAATTTCTGTTTTGGCAGTCAATCATTACTAGAGATGGGCACGCAAGATTTCACTTTTGTACAACTTAATCAGTTAATTGGAAGGAAAACCGGAGGGATATCAGTTTATCCCCTTACATCCTCTGTGTATGGTAGGGATGATCCATGTAGCAAAATTATCGTGCGTGGAAAATCAATGGTTGGACGCGCTGAAGACCTTTTTGACCTGGTAATTTGTTTTAACATCTTTCACTAATCACATAGCTGGAGATTTGAGTACGTTGGGATAGTTAATGTAGAGTTTTCTAGCTGATAGATCAGGTCTCGTTTTTTTTGGTCCTCAAAAAATAAAGTGCAAGTTCAAACTGTTTGCCTCATGTCCTCTAACTCTTGTTATAATCTTGAAGAATAACTCTCCTGTCCATCGCTTTATCAGAAAGCAAAAGCTGTTTCTTTAATTTGTGTCTATGTATCTCTCTGTCTCGCCAGATTTCTTCCCTCTTAAAGCAGAAATGTTCACTTTTTTCCCTGTGCTCATCTCATTTATCACTGAGCAGTGTCTGATACTAATTCTGCATGTTCAAGGCAGAGTATAGAGGTAGACTAGACAATCATTCGATACTTGAAAACTGATTCTGTTAATTTTTGAGCTGAGCTTTTGTTGATGTTCCCGTTATAACAGCTTAGTATGTGCCTATTCAGAAAATAATCCTAACTTTCGAGTTTAAAGTAAAAAAAATGTAGACATAGAAAGTGGCTGTAGTTTGACAGAAGAACCATGCGATTCTTGAAATTTAAGTTGTAGTTTGATACTTATTTTTCATTCACTGTTGTCTTGCTGCAGATGAACTGTGTAGTGCAAGAGGTTCGATTTACAGATCAACAACGGTTTAAACAATTCGTCTCCCAGAGTAGAGCACGGATGGAGGTATGCAGTTCTTTCTTCATTTTGCATTCTAAATAGAACACGCTGGTAGTAGTATAACACCAACTTGTGTTCATTACAGAACCGATTGAGGGGAAGTGGCCAAGGAATTGCTGCTGCGAGGATGGATGCAATGTTGAACGTTGCTGGATGGATGTCTGAACAGATGGGTGGTCTCAGGTTGGAACTTGATAACTCTTTCTTACAGTTTCAGTTTTTATCATTTGTTTGACCTCTTGATTTGATTGAAACCTAGTTGTGGGAGAAGAAACTTTTTTCATATTTTTAGTTTAATCTGAAACTTGTAGAGCCTAATAGAGTTTTGCTTTTCTCTTTGTAGTTACCTTGAATTTCTACATACTCTTGAACAGAAGGTGGATCAAGACTGGGAAGGAATTTCATCTTCACTTGAGGAAATCAGAAGATCTTTCCTTTCCAGGAATGGTTGCATAGTTAATATGACTGCGGATGGGAAGTCCCTCACAAACACGGAAAAATTTGTTGGAAAATTTCTTGATTCACTCCCTGAAAATCCTTCTGGTGGACTTGTCTCTTGGGATGCACGACTTCCTTTGAGAAATGAAGCTATAGTAATACCAACCCAGGTAGATAAAAATGGAAACCCTTCTATATATTTTGTGTCCTTTGGTGTGTATATCTCTTCACCATCTTCTAGTTACTCCACAATTCTATTCTTGCCTTCTCGACAGGTGAACTATGTGGGAAAAGCGGGAAATATATACAGCAGTGGCTACAAACTTGATGGGAGTTCATATGTTATATCAAAGCATATTAGTAACACATGGTTATGGGATCGTGTTCGTGTAAGTGGTGGTGCATATGGAGGTTTCTGTGATTTTGATTCACATTCAGGTAAACTGCTTTCCTTTTCCATTTTTATATTGATTGGAAAGAGTCTTCGCCACGTGCAAGTTCTCCTTCAGAACTGACCTTTGGATTTTCTCTTTTGAAGGAGTATTTTCGTTCTTATCTTACCGTGATCCCAACCTATTAAAGACTCTAGACATATATGATGGAACTGGGGATTTCTTACGTGGCCTCGATGTTGATGAAGACACCCTTACTAAAGCAATTATTGGGACAATTGGCGATGTTGATTCATACCAACTCCCTGATGCCAAAGGTTATAGCAGGTATGATGTTTATTTCTGGTCTTTGTTGGCTTTCTTTCAAGGAATTTAATGGATTCTGAATCTAATATCCCATTTCTATCCCCAGTTTGTTGAGGCATTTACTAAATGTAACCGATGAAGAGAGGCAAATAAGACGTGAAGAGATATTATCAACAAGGTTAACATCATTCTCTTGTTTTTGCTCTAGCGTGTATAATATTTATAGATAGATAGGTATAGATCAATTTAAACATCTTTTGCAGTTTCTGTATCACGATATGCCGCAGACTGGGGACAATGTTTTGATCTGAGTTTTTAGTGTTAGGAGTTTTACGACTTCTTTGAATATTACCAAATAGCCAGTTCCAATCCTTCAACATAGTTATTCTCAAACAGATTAGAAAAGTAACTTCCTCTTTATCCTTTTTTATCTCACAGTTTGAAGGACTTCAAGGAATTTGCAGAGGCAATAGACTCAGTTAGAGATAAAGGCGTGGCAGTGGCTGTGGCGTCACAAGAAGACATTGATGCAGCAAACAAAGAACGCTCAAACTTTTTCGAGGTGAAGAAAGGTCTCTGAGTCTGAGACCCTCTTAGAAAGTAGCTTGTCACAGTGAGGAATGACTCTTCTTAGGTTCACGGTACGACGCATCAAATCTCTAAGCTCGTACTTTTTTGCGTTTTACTTCACTGTGTTTACATATATGTCAACTTCATGATTTATCTCAGTTGAAATGAAGCATTTTTACCTCAAAACACAGGCTTTAGCTACTGTTGCATTTGAGTTGTTACTTTTTATAACAATTTTTCTTTCGGTTTTAGCTTTTGCTCTTTAAGAACTAAGAATCCTAGTTCTATTTATATTCCATGTTCGTAACAAGACAAGCTCTTGAGGATCTTCTTGTACCTTTTAGGTTTTAGAACCAGTCTTGTTTGATTCACATTTGGTTGGAAATGATGAGTCAGATAGACATTAGATTCATCATTGGCTGGAATCGGATCGAACAGTACATGTTCTTGTTAAAACAAATGGGTCTCAATCATATAGAAAAAAATAAAGGATGCATCTATTATTCATCATGTGTCCTGATCTTGTTATTGTCATGCTTTCTAATGTGGCTCGTGCTTCATTTGTTTTGTTTTTGAAGTAGGTCTTAAACATTTCCAAGTGAAATTGAAACTCTTCCCTTTTAGGACATTGGTATCAAGAATCTCTAGGTTACCTTTTTAAGTGAATTCGTCTTTAAAGTTACTTTTTTATTAACATCGATTCATAAAGATACTTTTGTAGATTAGTCCATAAACAAAGATACTTGTATTGATGAATCTTGTTCGTCTCATCCTTTTACCATTATCCGTGAAATTCTGATTACATCATTATTCTTGGTTAATTAGTCCATAAATAGACTTGTATTGGTTCTGATCAGAAACATGGTGAAATAGCAACATCATGGATGAGTATTTTTTTTTTTCCAATTTTAAAATTATTGAAGAAGAAGAAGAATCGGACGATTGAAGCCTAGATTCTAAGAATTCATATTTTCGATATTGTTCATGTGTAAATTAGAAACGGAAAAAAAAAATACTTACCAAGTAAATGCTTGTTAGCACAAGTATTATGTAACGGTCAATTATTGCTCATTATTTCACTGCCAAAAATAACGAAAATGGTCCCATTTTATTAGACGGAAATAAACATGTTGTATGTGTAAAATTCTAAACCCATTTTTGGACATGTACAGATTCCATGTAAGAGCTGGATTTTAAGATGGTTTTTCTGTTGTTGTCATCTAATAAGTACTGTTTAATTGATTGTATTTATAGTTCTGTCTCCATGTGGTGCTCGTAAGAAAGTGAATGCTTTAGGGTCACCTGACTGCTAAAATTACCAGAACTAACTGGGATTTAGACTCTAATCTATGAATCTAGTTATCCTTAAGTATATCAATGATTTTACAATAATGTTTGCTACTTTGATGTTATAAAGACCATATTTTCTTGCTTTGTTTTTTTGGTCTTATATTAATTTAGAGCTTTTGATCAAAAAACTTAGGAGAAAAAGCAAAGTAGTAACTCCTTTTTCTATAAGAAATAAATAAATTTAACAAATACTTTAGTTTATGGTTAAAAATCTTAATTTTCTTTGTTATCAAATCTAAATTTATAATAGTTAATAGAAATGTTTTTTTCTCTCACATATAGTAATGTATTTACGTGTAAGCAAATGTTACTTTTGATGAAAAAAAGAATTATGTGGTCGAAGTAAATTAGTAATTACCCAAAAGTATATCGAGTAATTGTTTTTGGAATTCACAGAGAAAAAATGTTGTTAGAGGAACGACGGCGTTTTTCGTTGCTTTAAAAGGAAGCCAAAAACGGCAAAAAAGACGCGCCGTTTAGAATCCCGACGGCGTCTACGCTCCGTAACGACGCCGTTACCTGCTTCCCAGTGAACGGAACTAATTAAAAGGACCCCACTCAAAACCGGCACACAAACGGCCCATCCGCTATAGGCAAGGCCCAATAATAAAATCTCAACCGTTGAATTAATCAACGGCTCTAGATCCTTCATCTTCCTCCCCCAAATACCCAAAACCCTTCCTCTGTTTTTTTATTAACCAGAGAAACCCCAACTTTTTCACAAACTCTCTCCAGAGAACAAAAAAAATGAGCTTGAGAGAGATGAGCGAAACAAAACCCAAGAGAGATTCTGATTACGAAGGATCAAACATTAAGAGGATGAGACTCGATGATGACGACGACGTTCTACGCTCACCGACGAGAACTCTTTCTTCTTCTTCCTCTTCTTCTCTGGCTTACTCGGTTTCAGATTCCGGAGGTTTCTGCTCCGTCGCGTTATCTGAAGAAGAATACGATCATCGAAGCTCAAGCATCATCAGCTCTGGTTGTTCTAGCAGTGAAACTAACGAAATCGCTACTCGTCTTCCATTTTCAGATCTGGAGGTGAAATTTCGAAACTCGAGACTACAAATTTTGAATTTCTCTGTCCAATTTTTTCGTCTGGTTCACAATAAATGCTCAGAGAAAAGATCTGATTACGTTTTTTTTTTTTTTTTGCTTTCACGAAACAATTAATTAATTTTGTTTCCGTTTTCAGGCTCATCAAATCTCCGAAACCGAAATCTCAACGTTAATCACCAACAACAATTTCAGGTTAAATACTAAAAAAACCGTTTCAAAGATTTTTCAATTTCTTCATCGTTTCGTCTATAAATTCATAATTTCTGGGGATTTCACAGCAAACAGGGAAGTCCATTAAGCGAGAATCTGGGAGAAACAGCTGAAATGGATTCGGCGACGACGGAGAGGAGAGATCAGCGAAAGTCAGAGAAGAAGATGGAAAAATCACCGACACAGGCGGAGCTTGATGACTTTTTCTCGGCGGCGGAGAGATTCGAACAGAAACGATTCACAGAAAAGTGAGTTTTTTTTAAGAATGAATGCGCAGGATATCAAGAGTATTAGACCCACACACACGCGCATGATAGCAAAAAATCCTTAACTTGGAGCTATTTAAAACGTGTATAGGTACAACTACGACATCGTCAATGATACGCCGCTTGAAGGTCGGTACCAGTGGGTTAGTCTGAAGCCATAGAAGAACAAAAAGGAGATGAAGAAGAGACAATGCTAAAGTTACACGTCGTGGTACTGTGAGTTTTGTCACAGACGGAAGAATTTCTTAGAGACATTTCATTGTACAGTTTTTATCTAATTTTAATTTCATCTGTTCTTCGTACCCAGAGTTTTTTTTACTGATTGTTAACTAGAAGTTTTAACCTTGAGTTTAATTCTCTCTCAATCTCGGTGATAATGTTGAACAAAGAGTGGGGTTACAATTAAAAATTGGGATAATTGTGTCAGTAAAGTTTCACTCTTTTTGGTCAGTTTTGTTGTAGTGAATTGGTGTTTGCACATTATTAGTATTTCATGAAATTGGGACCTTATTTATTTATGAACTTGGAAAGCTATTTATTGTTTTGATTCTCACTTTCGATGTTTATAAGAAATTGTTTTTTCTCTTCTTTTTGTTGTTGTTTGTACTTTACTATTTGTAACGTTTTGTTTTCCTAGTTTTAGACAATTGTTTAGTGAAATAGTAATGGCAATAGGAAAAAAAATAGAACGCAAATATATATAGATTTAAGAAAATGGGTAAAACTGGAAAGGCATAACGGTATATAATATCAAACAGTTGGTAATGTACTTTCTCTATAGAGTTAGAATGAATATTCCTCTAATTTCCTTGAAATTATTATTTTAGCAAAAAAAACTTTATGAACAAATTTGAATGCTTCCGATGAGTCCACTACGATAGTACACGTTTTTTTTCTTCTTTGATATTTAAATTTCAAATTATAAATTAGTTTACGGCGATAATTTAAAATTAACAAAAGCTGTTGACAAAAATAAAAAAAAATAAAAAGGAAGAGAGAGAGAGAAGGGAATAGAGGGAGTGGTAAAAAGAGGATCTCATCATTACCTGATTCCGTTGGGATTATATTCCCTTTTTTAATTTTATTTTAATTTCTTTGCAGCAGACAAAGGCGCGTGGATCCACGTGCTTTCTGTTATTTTAGTTTCTCCCATTTATTCCTTTTTTCCTTTGCTTATTTATGTACTTTTTTGCGAACTGACTGTTTAACAACACGAATTTAAATTTCAAAAGGCTGAAGAAAATTAAAATAATGAGATTAAGGAAAAAAAGAGCCTAATATGAACGTCATAATTAGGCAATCTCTTCCAACAAGCCACGTGATGAGGAAGGGTATTTTTGTCAATCTACTCACAATATAGTGTGAAATATGTTGTGACTTGGTGACCAGGTAAATGTATTTTTTGCTTTCTATTCTAACTGTTCTTATCGTGCCAAGTCAAAATTTTCACCTTTTTAAAAAAATAACGAAGGATAATAAAACCCTAGTGAAGATGTAAAATAATTTAACATGTATTATTTTACTAAAAATTGGTGTTGTTTTATTAATTCGAATTCTTTTTTTCATATGTACTTTCATGTCTATTTTTTTCTTTTAAATAGTATTTAAGTTTTGAAAAAAGTCATCTTTAACATTATCTCTTTGGTCGGCGGAAGTAATATGGGATGTAGAAGGAAAGAATGGGTAAAAGATGACCGAGTCTTTAGTTATGTAAAATATATATATGTTTTTTTTTTTTGTTGAAGAGAGCTTCTTTATTTGTGATCATGAGCAAATGGATATACTGTATAAGTATATATTGATTGTCCTTACTCTAGATTTCATCGGGTGGTATTGTATTTGTTTTGTTTTGAGTAAGATTAAGAAAATGTACACGAAGTTCATTATTTTGAAATTCAAAATGGGTGAAAACAAATTACTAGCAATAAATATAAGAAGTAAATGTGCGTTAAAAATAAAACTTGGGGAAGGGGATTATTACAATTACAAGACTGCATGCACATCACATGGCTTGGATCTTGTGAAACTTTCTTTACCCTAACATCAGATCCAATGCCTAGCTCTAGGCTAATAGAATGTTGAACCTTTCCACTCACACAAGTTACCCCTACCCCACACGTGTGCCTGTTTATTACTAATAGCCCTTGAGTATATTGGCAATGTTGTAAATCATGTTGAGTTAGTATTTTTTTCTTCACATATAACATAGAATTTATATTTGTTTTAAAATTAATAGCATTTTTGTTTACTCATAACATTTTGTTTGAAATAATATTATTTATCTAGTTGAGTTAAACATTATTTAAATTTAAAGCTTCGTTGACAAAAAATAAAATTTTTTTGGTCTAATGCCTTTTTCACATATTACTCCCCAAAAAAATGTGAAGAACTTAGGCAACAGAGAAAGTACAAGAATTATTAGTATCGCAATCAACTACCTAACTTACCCGAATTTGCAATAAAACATAAATTAATGTTTACTTTTTCATTGACTTTATTTTATTGCCTATCTAAAAAGGCCGATAGCAGATGAGATAAGAAAACCCAATAAAAAGGAGAATAACTGTATTGGGTTTATAGTATTTAATGGGATTTATAATGGGTTTATAGTATTTAATGGGCTTCAAAAATGCAGTAATATATATTGGGGCATAATTTTGTAACTCAAAAAGATGTCTCATAAACAAAATTCGATGGCGGTCCACGGCGAAAACAGAGACGGTGCCTCCGCCTCCGTAAGAGTCATCAACCACCGCTCCGAAGATTTAGACACAATAAGCTCTTTGCCTGATGTGATCCTCCAACAAATTCTCTCCTTAATTCAGACCAAATACGCCATAAGAACTTCCATCTTGTCCAAACGATGGAGGTATGTTTGGTCCGAAATACCTTCTCTCTGCTTCGATGATTGCTATAAAGTAGATGCTGATTCTATAGACAAAACCCTAGCTCACTACATGTCTCGCAAGATTATGACTTTTCAGCTCTGTGCCACATCTGTAGTCAATCTTCCTTACAATGAATGGATTGAGTTCGCCATGTCCCGAAACGTGGAGAATCTGTTTCTGGATTTCGGTTACCTTAAGTATGAATTTCCTGATTCCTTCTACATCAACTCCTCTGTCAAGCAACTCCGCATTGAGACAAAATTTTCTGAATTGATTCCCAGATGCTCTGTTTCTTGGAAATCTCTCAAGAAGCTTTCTTTGCGTTGTTGCAAATTCTCTGATGAATCCATTGCTAATATTATTTCTGGTTGTCCGATTCTCGAAAGCTTAAAACTGGAATTTTGTGATGAACTGAGGGTTCTTGATCTCACCAAATCACCGAGTCTGAAAATATTAGAAATCGTTCGTACCGCTTGTGTTGCAGGGACAACGCACATTGTGGCACCGCATATCCATTGTCTCACACTGAAAAACTCTCAGTTATCATGTGCTTTTGTTGATGTCTCGTCTTTAACCGAAGCCAAACTAGACATTCGCTTTTGCGCACTTGACAACCTGAATGCTGATTTTCTTCAAGACATGGTGCTTAAGATACTTGAGAAGTTACAGAACGTAGACAAGCTTACTTTTGGGGAAAACTTTCTTAAGGTATGTTTTCAAGTGTCATTTTTCTTTTGATATTTGTTTTTTTTGGTTTTAACTAAATGTCTGTGCTTTTTGTTAGATTTTATCACTTTCCGAGGTCCGCGGTGTTCCCTTTCCGATGTTCAAGGCTAAAGCTTTGACTCTTGAGACAATGATCTCTCAATATGTTACTCCTGGTATATTAAGGTTGCTACAAAACTCACCTAAATTAAAGAAGCTAACCCTACACACAATGGATTGTGACACGGACACCATACCTGTATGTATATTTCTTTCACTATTTTGCCGATCTTGAATAAGCTAGAACCATGACCTTTCACTTTGAGTTTGTAGCAGTAATCTGAGATATTGACAATCTGTTTTTTGCATTAATGAAAATATGTTCTGTTGTACAGGATAAAGATGTTCGCAAGTACTTGCGCGGCTTGAATCTGGATCATCGCTGGATATTTGGGAATATTTTTCATTGGAATGTAGAGTCAAAGCATGTGGCTTCGTTCATGGAACTTATGCTTAAAAGGACAAAGACATTAGAGAAGATGGTCGTTAGGTTGGAAAGTTATCTTGATGAAAGAGGTTTTGAAGAATTGTTTGAGATGGTTCCAATGCTTTCTCGAAACAACAATGTCTCCATTGTGCTTAGCTCAACCAATCCGAGACATAGCTAGTGCTTAGTCTTTAGTTTTCTCATTTTTTTTATTTTTATATATTTAATAACCCATATTTCCTTTTATTTTCTTCTAATATCATACAAAATTTCGATATTTTAATTTTCCTTATTATTACCTAATTAACTATTCCAATTTTTATATATATTAAATTCTTAGATTTTTTTAATTTAATTAAATTAAAATATAAATCATTCAATTTTTCTATGACCTAAAAGGTAACAAAGTTTGATACTAATAAAACATTAGTTTACTTTTAAAACATTCTATTTTATTGTTTTCTTCAAATTTTAATGAATTAAATTTTTCACAACACATATCACAATTAATTCTAAAAAATTCCAACAAAAAATGTCTTGGTAGATTAAATACTCCCTCCGTTTCAAAATATAAAGCGTTTTGGAGAAACTTTTTTGTTTCACAATATAAGTCGTTTTCAAGTTTCCATGCAAATTATATATTACTTTAATATTTTATAATTATTTTTATTATGTAGTATCTCTTATGATTGGCTGAACTTTTAAAAAGTAGATCTTCTTAATCGGCGTAATTTTAGCTAAAACGCCTTATATTTTGAAACGGAGGGAGTAAAAACTTAAACCTAACTTATAAATATACTTATCTGCTAAAATATATATCTTCTGTATATACCTATATTAATATATATTAGAATAGTGATAAAAATATTATATATATATATATATATATATATCTTATATTAAAATATTATTTAGGTATCAACTAGGCCTGGGCATATGGGTAACCCGTTCGGGTTCGGATAAAACCCGTTCGGGTTCGGGTTGAATGGGTAATGAATTTATGGCCCATTCAGGTATTTCTAAAGATTCGGTTCCGGTCCGGTTCGGGTATCGTCGGGTTCGGATCGGTTTGGGTAATAAGCATGAGAACCGAAAAAAACCCGAAAAATTTGGGTCCCTATTGGATTCGGGTCTAAATGGGTAAAATTACCCATAAACCCGAAATATGAGAGCATCTCCAAACCACCTCTATATTTGCCTCTAAACTCTATTTTAGAGGCAAATCTACTCCAACCTACCTCTATTCTCACCTCTAAAATAGAGATCTCTATTTTTTTCTCTATGTGAGAATAGAGAATCTCTATTTTTTCCCTATAAATAGA